AATGTAATATTTTACTTCAAAAATGAGTTTTAATATGTGCTATAGCAGAGAATTTAAACAAACCCTTAAAAAAATAATAGTAATAAAGAACACCCATATCATTTGCTAAGATTCCATTAAAGCACCCAAAAAAAGGCTTCAAATTTGCTCATTCCTCCCAAAAACTCTCTCTCCACTCTCTCCCTTTTTCTTACCCCTGAAGTCTTCTCCTTCCCCCCTCTGTTTTTCTTCTTCATCCCCACATTCTCCACTCTTCAACCCCCAACTCAACAAAATCTTTCTTTTTCTCTTTTCTCCTCCTTCAATGGAAGATGCAAACTTCTTCACCAAAGAGGGACAATTAGGAACAGAGAAAAACCCTCAAAACCCAACTAAGTTTTATACACATTTCCTTCAGAAAGCTCTCATAGTCACAATTTTCTTTGTTATACTTCCACTTTTTCCATCCCAAGCTCCTGAATTCATAAACCAAACCCTGTTAAACAGAGGCTGGGAGCTTCTTCACCTTCTTCTCGTCGGCATAGCTGTGTCTTACGGCCTGTTTAGCCGGCGGAATGATGAAACAGAGAAGGACAACCATAACAATGTTTCCAAGTCTGATAATGCGCAATCCTATGTGTCTAGATTGCTCCAGTTCTCGTCGGTTTTTGATGATGATGCCGAGAACGTTGCTGGGTCTGACGAGAACAAGGTCGTCCAGGCGTGGAACAGTCAGTATTACCGGAACGAACCGCCAGTGGTTGTCGCGGCGAATCCTTCTGTTCTTGATGAACGGGGGAGTTCGGGTTCTGGGGTTGCTGAAAAGCCATTGCTTTTGCCAGTGAGGAGCTTGAAATCGCGTGTTTTGGACGCGGATGAAACAAGTAAGGAACCTGTAAACCCTCGTTCTGTGAGTAGGTCTAATTCCAATTTGGGTTCGAAAAGGGTTTTGAATAAACCTAGAAATGGGGATTTGGGAGGATTGGATCATGGGAATTTGGAGGAGAAAGTGGATGAGAATGTGGTTCTTCCTTCTCCGATTCCGTGGCGCTCGAGATCGGGGAGAATGGAGGTGAAAGAGCAAACGGAGAGTCCTCCTAAGCATACTCTGCCACCGGCAATGGAGGAGTTTGACTTCAACAGGGTTGAATCTCGATCTTTCAGGTCCCGTTCGTCTCGATCCAATTCCACATCCTCTCCGAAATTTTCCACTTCTCCGTCGATGTCTTCTCCAAGAAAGTTATCTCCTGCGCCTTCTTTATCTGCAGAACAAGCCAAAAGCTTAGAGGATTCGGTGAAAAAGAAGAGCTTTTACAGGGCTCCTCCCCCTCCTCCACCGCCACCACTTCCCACTTTCAAAGCATCATCTTTTAAACCCAGTTCTAGATTAAGTGATAGCGAGGTTTTCTTCGAGAAGGAATTGCATAGAAGCTTCAGAAGTGAACCAAAGGACTTGAACAGAAATGGAGAAGAGACATTGATGGACACAGTGAATTCAGGGTATGGTGGGAAGTCGAAAACAATCCGATCAATTAATTCTCTCACCGGAACACAACAAGTTCGAGAAACTGAACAGCTGAGCCGTGAAAGTTTCACATTCATGCCAAGACCAACATACGTGGAATATCCGAGGGAAGAGAAACGACAATTCATTGAAAATATGACTCTGGAAAGCGAAACAGATGAAGATTCAGATACTGAGAAGGAGGAGGATGAAGAAGTTGCTGCTCCGAGCAGTGGCATGGATGCAACTTCTGATGTGGACAAGAAGGCTGATGAATTCATTGCCAAAATCAGAGAGCAAATCAGGCTTCAGAGGATTGATTCGATCAAGAGATCAAGTGGGCAGACGAGGAGAAATCCATCAAGGTAATGCCAGAGAATGAACATACAGTCAGCCCTCTAGAATTATTTTCATGGGGTGGACTTGAATTTCCTTTGCTTTCTGATTTTAGCTTTATTACCTGTAATCAAAATCAGCTTTTTCTTTTCTAATCCAAGACGATTATATACAGCCATAGACATATGAAATTACTTTGTAAACCAGCAAGGCAAACTTCCCTGGAAAAATCTTTGTGTTCTTCAATTTGTTGGCTATATATATCAGAATGTTACAACGTCTTTTTTTACTGCATATTTAATGTGAGAGCGGATAACCAATGTAAATTTGATTATGAATTATGAACTCTTAACCAACTGAGAATCGGACTCAAGAGATTCCAGTGAAAGATTTGATTCATCGCGGCGTCTTCACATATTGTAGGAGTTGTTCTGAAGTCTAGGCAAAGTATCTATTCTTTCCCAGCTCAATCAAAGATGTGAAAATTTGTTTGGAGTTTCTGAACAAAGCATTTTCCTTTTCTATATCATCAAGATCAACTCTTTAAGGGTATAATTAGAAACCTTTATTTTATTTTTATTTTTTATTTTTTTGATCGGCCAAAGTGAGGATTAAATTCAATGGAGTACAAGGAATACATACTCCTACACATATTGTACAGAACTACTTACATTACATCAAAAAGTAAATCAAGTCCTATAGATGATTCATCAAAAACTTTAGATATGGTTGCTATACTCTAAGCCTTAGTAGTCATCACCCTCTTGCATGCCTGAATTGGGTCTGAAAGCCATAGATCCTTTGATATATTTGGCCAAAGACTAGCTTTCAACCACATCAATGATCGTATCTTGATTAGCTCAAATATATTGCTAAATGTGTTCGGTGTTTTCTTTAAATACCTTTTGGTTTAAGTTTGCATCACATCACATCCTCCATATCTCTCTTATGTGTATGGACTAATGAAGAACATAATGTTAGTGAATGAAATTACTTGAGGGGACCTGTTAGTGAAAAAAATGAAACAATTATTGACCTCAAAATCAATTTTTGATGGTTTGTTTATTCATGGTTTTCCCATCTCTACTGGCTTTTTCTTGCCATCCCTGTGGTTGTGGATCTGGACTTGAGCTGGTTCTTGTCTTGGGGCAGTCTTAACTCTTAAGGCAGGTGGGGACCAAATATTCAATGGAAGTTTCAAATAGGCCCAATTCAATTACAATAGACCTGAAAATTCCTCCACTTTAGTGGGCTTCAGCTTCCTACTCGTTTAAAGCACAGTACTTTGCAGGATTCTGATTTAGGATTTAGGCGTTAGGACCACGCATTTTGTCCTACTTGGGAAAAAAATGCTCATTTCTAACAGCAGAGATTTTAACACATTTCTCCCTACCCATTCAGAAAAGATACTCGTACTTGGTAAAGAATTTCCCTTTACCTTTCACTGCATTTACAGGACCACAATTATTAATGGCAGTCACGTAACAGATTATTAGTACATGCAACGCGACGTTTCTTCTGCAATATGAAATGAGGTGATAAGCAATAAAGACAGATTAATTGAGTACTAGTTAATGGAGAGACCCATTTCATGGTGGCATGGAGCGTGTAGAAGGAAACTATTGGAACAAGTGCCTATTACTAAAGCAATTGGACAAGCAGGATAGTGATGAAGATGTCCAAGAGGATGTGAGTAATTGAGAATAGAGTAGTCTACGGTCTACCTAGCTAGAATACAAAACTGCCCACTTTGTGAGTGTTATATGGAAGGAAGTGTGCAATATTGCTTTCCATTCTGCTATCTTGCTCATCAGTCTAGTAGATAGAAGAAGATGCAATGAGGTGATGGAAGAAGACAACAATATATGTTGCTTGTCCTTTTTCAAGGACTTTTTCTAGAGATAAAAGGACAGGTCCATCAACAAATGTCTAGTTGCAACTTCCCATTTATGAGTGCCATGGCTAAGGTACTCAATTTGACATTTCGTTCCCTTCATTTCCACTACACAATTAAAGAAAAAAAAAAATCATTTTCCAATCCAATCAAAGACATACACCATATTATCTCTTTTAACAGATTTCTTAAATCAAAGTTTAATCAATAACATTATCGTACTTACCTCCACATTTTATTTTTGCTTAGAAAGCAAAAGAAAAGTGCATCTGTTTGTTCCTCATCCTTCAAAGGAACATGATGGCCATTATTTACCAACAAAAGATGTCTAGTCCATTACATTAGTGCTCACTAACTAAAAAATTCCTGTAATACTCAATAATTAATTTTCTTTCAAAAAAAAAATACAATAGCTATTAAATTTGCATTACATTTTTTTTTACAGTAGAGAATTAATTACTTAATAATATAAAGATTTAAACTTTTAATATTAAATTAAAATTTTTAAAATTACAAGTAGTAACTTGATTAAGCTCTTATTAGTGCTCACACTCCGCGTTCTTCCTTGGCTTAATTACATTTTTTCTTAATCCATAAATAATCATTAGGACACCCAAATTAGTGGAACGAAAAACAAATTAAACGCCATACCTATATCCATGCTTAACATTTCAATCAACATATTTTAGGGACAAAGGATACTTTAGTGTTGATTAAGAAATCACATTTTTCAAAATACTAAGACACGATTACCCAACAGCCTGCTTAAAATTAGGAACATGATTACCATTAAAAAACAACTATTGGCCCACGTTTGATTCTTGACCCCAATTTCCGGCCAATTACCATGTTCAAAAAGCCATGATCAACAAACCAAACCCAAAAAATCCTACTTCAAAACAGGATATTTGTCCCCACGCAACCCTCAAAATCTCTTTACAAACCAACAAAAATAAACCAAAAAGAAATGAGATTCTTCGTATGTATAATCACTCCTACTCTAATGTAGAACAAAAGCACGAATTTCAGTCAAATTTAATAATTAGATATTGAACTTTTTACAATCAAAAGTCCTCTTTCCTTAAGGAAATAAGAGGTATTAGCACTAATTAACACCAAATTTAAAATATTTTAGTGTCAACCTTAGAAAAAAATAAAAAGATTAGTAGAGGGGTCAATAATACAAAACATGGTGACCCACCAAATCGCATTCTAACCACCATATCTTAGACCATTGGTACGCTATTACTACCGCTTTTAAAACGCTCCGTACACGTGACGTTTTTACAATGACCAAACTGTCCTTATCCACCCAACATAATCACGAGCGAGGACGGAGAGCATCAAACGGCAACGAGGCGTGCGGAATGGGAGATGCAGCTGCGGAGGCGGAGGCCCAAGGGTTGATGGGGATGGACCGGAGGTGGGTGGGTCCCATGTGGCGGGGATCAACGGTGGATGAAGCGGATGGTGGGACGGCGACGCGCTCGCAGGATGGGCACATGGTGAGGGTGGTGGGTGGAGTCATCTGCATGTAGAACTGAGGGGAGAGTTTCAGCGCCCTCAGCTCCTGCACCTCCTTCTGCAGCCGCCGGTTCTCCTCCGTCAGATTCTCACAGCATCTCTTCAGGAATTCACAGTCGACTTCCGTCTGCTTCAGCTTTGTCCTGAAAAATTTTTCCAAAACCCCCGTAAATAAGACTATTCCACAAGGATATAACCGTCAATTCATCTGAAAGCCAAGACGACGGCGTATTGCTTACCTAGCCCTTCTATTTTGGAACCATACTTCTACTTGTCTGGGCCGTAGCCCCAACTGCTTCGCCAAAGCCAGCTTTTGCTTCTGCAAACACATAATTACCAAAATGTCCTCTCAGTTCTCTCTTCCGTTTGTTTGCCAAGAAAATTTCGAAGGGAAAATTAAAAGTCTAGAGCTTTTACTTACTGGGTTGAGAGTGTTGTGTTCTTTGAAGCTGTCCTCGAGAACCGCGGACTGATCTTTGGACAGACGGAGCTTCTTTCTAGAAGTATCGCCGTCTTCCTCGTCGCTGATGCCGCGAGAGCAGGCTCTGTCGATTTCGTGGTCCTCTCCATTACCGTCTCTCTCGCTCCTCTTTCCACTAATACTTGATATTGTGCTGTTTGGAGACGAGACTCCGGCTTCCTCCTCGCAATCCGCCGTCGCCGGAAGTCTGTTCACGTCGATTCCCCTGAGAAAGGATTTCGGGTCCGCACGGCTAGATTCCGAGTTGGGATCTACATGCAAAAGTAAAAAAAAAAATATTGAGGACTGTAGGACATAGATGTGAACAGAAGAAAAGTGCAGTGAAAACGATTGTTAAAAGCTTCTTCAAGTGAATGAAGAAAATATTAAATTATTACCCAAACACAAAACTTTTTTAAAGCTCTGTTTGTTTCCCGAGAAAACAGAGGGAAAACGGTGCAAAAAAGTGGACATGCGCAAAACCCAGATCCGAAAGGTGATTAAAGAACGTACCGGAACGATGAGTGGCGTCGTTCCATGCAGGTTTCTGAAGGGTTAACCCAGACGGAGAAGACGATGAAAGATTCAGCTGCAAAGAATGGTGAATCTGAGGAAAACTCAAGCTAAGACTCAAACCCAGATCTTCCTTGTCAACCAACATGTTTTCTCGCTCGCCAAACAAGACCCAGGAAACAGGGTCTGATTCAAGATTTCAGATTTGAGAGGAAAAGAGGAGAAAAGTTATGAGCTTTTCCAGAGAAAGAAAAGGGTGTGATGGTTGGGTGAGGAAGCGGAGGAGATTGAGGGATTATATAGAAAGAAAGGAAATGAAGAGAGAGAGTTTGGGTGTAAGTTCAATCATGACTTGGTGTCAGGAGGCCAATTATCTCAATCTGTCGTTTGCTCTCCAAAATTAAAAGAAAAAGAGAAAAATCAATTTAGTATTTGTTCAAAATGGTATTTTCTTTTTTTTTCTTTTTTAATAAAGAGTATCAAATACGTCCTTGTACTGTTATCCAATGTTAACATGTAACTAGCCAATTATATCTTATTAACACGTCAACAAAATTAAATTTCTTTCTAATTCTTTCCTTTCCATATGAATTGATAATTATCCTTATCTACTAATTTACACATTTTAAGATTAATTGTTATCCGATTCTCCTTGATCTGATTAATAATATTATTTCCATTTATTTTTAGTAAATTTAGTTTAATTTTTTAACTTTTTTAAATATAAATTTTAGATGAAAATTTA